CCTGGGTGGCTTAGTTGGTTGGGCATCTAAATCTTGGTTTTGGCCCAAGGCATGATCTCAGGGCTGTGAGATCAAGGCCCATGTCAGGCTCTGTGCTGAGTGTGGAGCCTGCTTGAGATAGTCTTTACCTCTGTCTCTCCCCTGTAATCGTGCTCTCAAAAAAAAAAAAAAAAAAAATTAAAGCCTTTTGATAGCCATCTGGGAAGCTTCAACCTAGAAGATTCCTCCAAACATAATGTAAGGAACTAAGATAAGCAAAAATTTATTTCAACCAAAGTATTTGAAAAATATTTGATGGATACATTTATTTTTCATATAAGTGTATCATGATGTCCTGAATTTTGCATGTCTTATGAATAATTACCTGAACTCAATCTGAATTTCATCATAGTGTATCCACGTGCTACTCAGTCTTCTGAGTGCTTGATGTACGTTTACTTTCAGTCCTTAACAATACTGTATGATTCAGTCTTATTAGCTATTAACCCCATTTTCTGATGAGAAAACTGAGGCAGGGAAGGACAGTATCTACCCTTATCCGAGGTTACACTATTTGTAAAAAGGCAGGGCTGAGATTTGAACACAGGCAAAGTCTGTGTACTTAGGCCAGTGTGTCTGTCTGCCCCACGCCCAGCCCACTGGCCATAGCATCATCTCCCGGCATCTGCTGGAGGATCCTGGCTCCTCTGGGGCCATTCCTAGCCTGCGTGCATGCGCTGTGCTCTTTTCTCTTGGTTCTCAGGACATGTTTGACGGAACTGGCGCCAGACCATGGAGCGATGGGCATGGGCTCTGGTCTTAGAGCAGCCTTGGATTGGCAGAGTAACCTCTGAAGGCTGGGAGTCACCTACCTGGCCCCACAGACCCTCTCAACTACTCCGTGGGGAGCATGACAGCCAGTTGACAGAGAAGGGAATCGAGATTCAGACAGTGAAGTAGTTCCATCAAGGTCACAGAAGATGGTTCTCTGCCGAGGTCTGCCTAAATGCGAAGTCTTCACATACACTTGCCCAAGTTGTCCCTAAAGCCACTTGAAAGCCTCTAAATCTCCTCAAATACGAAACAAGGAAATGGTGCTGTATGAGTACACTCTGTGCCCTGAAGGCCTAGGGATTCTTCAGAGGTATTTCGGAAGGAAGTCCAAAGTCACTGGCCCTGATAGCCACCTAACCCTGATGTATGTGTGTATGTATACACACACACGCACGCAGCAGGGCACAGCAATGCCACTTGAAATCTGCCTTCTAAGTCTGACTTTGCACATGTAGATGGAAGGAAGATTCTGTGGCTAAAACAAGTTTGGGGACCATTCTAGCAAGGGATCCCTGAGGCCCCTCTTAGCTTTAGTACCAATGAGAGGATCAGCATCGTAAAGGGACAGTAGCTGTGGTCACTCAAACCAGGCAGAAGAGACTGGGGGTTCACCTGGCTGGCTCTGTCCAGAAAACATCAGTTGTCTTTGAAAGAAAAGGATATACTGCAACTTTGGCTGATCTAGACACAGTTTGAAAAGCTGTTGTAAAGATGTCTGTGATGATCGCCTTCTTTCCCAGGGCCGGCTAGTGAGAGACACAGTCTCAGTTTTCTTGTGGTCACCATTCCCTGAGGGTATCATTTAAGGATGGAGGGGTCTAAGCATCTGTGGCTTAATCAAAACTCATGGGCTTTTCTCCTCTTCTTTGTTTATCTTGCCTCGTCCTCTTTTTACTCTGTCCTACCTTCAACCCAGTCTCCCTCCTCTGGCTTCAGTGCCAAGTGATAAACAGGAAAGGAGGGGTCTGTGCTGGTTAAGAAATAAGTCATTTCATTTACTCCTCCAAGTCTTGCTTTTGTCCCACCTATGTTCCTACTCAAAGCAAAGCACTGGAGTTTAGGTGACAGGTGTCAGGCTGGCATCTTGATGCATGCCCGGAGAGTCAAGTTTTCTGTTTCCCAATCCCTATAGTTTCCACCCCTTTCACTAAAAGGTGTGTATGTAGAAAAGAATAAGGCCAAGTGGGGGGCGCCTGGGTGGCTCAGTGGGTTAAAGCCTCTGCCTTCGGCTCAGGTCGTGATCCCAGGGTCCTGGGATCGGCCCGCATCGGGCTCTCTGCTCCGCGGGGAGCCTGCTTCCTCCCGTCTCTCTCTCTGCCTGCCTCTCTGCTTACCTGTGATCTCTGTTTGTTAAATAAATAAATAAAATCTTAAAAAAAAAAAAAAAAAAAGGAATAAGGCCAAGTGTTATTATTCATGGTGATGTTGATCATACCTTTTCACAGGACACTTACTGAGTTATATTTTACACATCATAAACTTCACTCATTTTGAATGTGCAATTCAATGATTTTTAGTAACTATTTAGTTGTACAATCATCACCAGTTCAATCTTGGAACACTTCCATCACCCCAGAAAGTTACCTCAAGCTCATTTGCAGTGACTCCCTGTTCCCACCCACAGATCTAGGCAACCACTAATCTCCTTTTTGAGGTGTATAGATATGCTTTTTCTGAGCATTTCATGTAAAAGGAATCATATAATAATGTGGCATTTTGTAACTGCTGTCTTTGATTTAGCGAACTCTTCTGATTCACCCATATGTTAGTGTGTTTTTGTATTTCATTTCTTTTTACATAATACTTTTTCAAGTGGCAGCATTATGTAGAGGAAAGATCATGGATTTCAGAAGCATGCAACGTAGGGCCAAATCACAGTCCTACCACTTCTGAGTTGTGTAACTTTGGGCAAGTACCTTAACCTCTTTGAGACCCATTTGTAAAAATAAGGATAATAATCATCTCTCCCTCAGAGGTTTATTCTATGAATTATCTGGATTGTGCTGGCAAGTGATGGGAGCTCAAGAAATCTAGGCTTTGTTTCTACATTCCCCAGGAGGCTTTGCTTTTCTTAACCCTGCATCAGAGTTTAAGGTGAATGCTACAGTCTCCCTACCAGCTTTCACATTAAACTTGACATGAGAGCCAACATAACTAGCAATGTTAGGAACAGAATTGCACCGAGAAGAATCATCACATCCTTCATTAATGAAACCCAGATGGTAAGAAGCTAAAGGGATTTCCTTCGGTCAGAATGCTGTCATTTTTTTTTTTAAGGAAGAAGGTTAAATTGTATTCATTATTTTAAGGAGAAAATGTTTCAGATTCTCTCCTAGAACACTGTACAGAGTAGGCCTTATCTTTGCAAGGCTCTAAGAACAACATATTTTCCCCACTAAGTCTTAAAAAACTGCTCCCAATGATATCAACTCTCAGGTAACATAAAAGTAAGTAGCAAGGGGCTACCAACCCCTGAGTATATCAAATTCATCTCAACTCCTCAAAACTCAACTTTGAGCCAGTAGTTTCAGACTCCTTCTTTCCTGAAACTTTGGAAGGACTGAAATTCTTGTGTTTGGTAATGCAGACTAAATCGAACTCTTTGTTTCTTTCTCCAGTCTATCTTCTGTGATTAGAACTTGTCACCCTTTGAGTTTCTCCTTAGAGAGGTCCTGAATATAACCCCATCGTACAGTCTTGGACACAAAGTTGACAAAGGTGCTACTCTTTAGCTCTGGGCATAACATTTCCTGTTGTTAAGCTGTTTTCCCTTCTGAATCATTGTTTCTCTACAGTTTTTACTCCACCACTGTTCCTCTTTGTGTTTCTGATTGTTTTACTTCCCTTCTTGTCTGGGATTTATCACAGCTGCATTTCTTCCCCGAATTCCTTAAACACTGAATCCCTTTCCACCTTCTAGATGGAATCCCAGATTCACTTCCTCTTAGGCACAGTGTAACAGTTAAAACAGAAAAGGATGAGGGTTCTAACTATTTCTACCAAATGAAATAGGTTTGTAATACACTTTTTGTCTCATCTCAAGGACATTAGATACTGTGTCTTTTCTCTTGATATAAAATGCCACTTGTTAAATGCAGTTACTGAGAAAGGCAACATAGGGCTTTCTAATCTGTATATACCAATAGTCACGATACATATTATCAGCCATATATTATTGGCATTAAAAATGACAGAGTGATTTCTTCAAATGGATAATTAGATTCAATTCCTACACATGATCAATCTGCAACATTATCAGATTAGTCTAATAGACTTGAACTTTGATTATGATACAGACATACATAGATAAACAGATAAAGGTTATAGCCAGATGGACTCAAACACTTAATGTATTTCTATAAGGATTCCTGTGTTTCCTCACTCTGTGTTCTTACTTGAGTGTAGTAACTGTTGACAAAATCCATGACTGACATCTTTCCTGATATTGAGAGATCAGGAAGAAGTAGATGGGGTCTCAGAGGAGAAGTTTCTGCTCACTGTATTAGCCCCTAAAGTAGGACCCGGGACCCATAAGGGGGATAAAAAGAGATAAAAATAATGGGGAGGGGCACATGAACAGCCTAGGTTTAGATGGATTTGTGAATTTCCCCAGTCTTCATAAAAATTTTCTTCTGTTAAAACTTTTCCTCTCATACACTACAGTGAGGAGAGTAATTTATATCCAAGACTTTATTTTAGAGATTTTATTTTAAATGGTATCACAGGAATTTATCTCATGGTATAAATAGTTTAGTCAATCTAGGATTTAGCAAAGATTTTCTCTCTACTGAACTGGCCTTTCGTGCCGTAGATGTTCAGCAGATGACAAATAATCTCGAGGCGTGATGACTTAACTTCATTTTGACAGCCAAACATTCTGCAAAAAAATTCCGAAGCCCTGTGTCCGGATATGTGGACAGCATACTGCCAGTTAATTTTAAAAAAGAAAAGTCACGTAATGACCCAGATATTGAATATATGTATATTTAAGAATCACACAACCTTCAGATTGTAATTTGGCACCTAGTTAGTCTGTCTACAGCTCTCGAAAGAGTCCTGGCTCAGGGTGATTGGTTAAAACCCCAGATTTGCAGAGATCACTTCTGAGGTCTTGACCACCAGAAATCACTGTCAGCATCCATGCATCAGTATATGAATGACCAAAAATAATGCCAAGAGTCTCCTACCCTGAGATGGCAGCAAGTTTTTGGTGTGCCTGACGAGCCATTTCACAGCCTTTGGTTCTGGTCTTGTGCATTTCCGCCCCGATTGAGGGGCAGCTGACAGAGACGTCCCCGATAGAAATGACCAACTCTCGGTACAGGGCCACTTGCGTGTTGAACTCCTGGACAAGCTGGAAAAGAATTGACTTTCTTTCAGGAACGTTTCCTATTTGGGTGTATACAAACATGGGTTTTCAGTGACCCCTCAGCCAACTCCACAAGTCTCCAGCTACAGACTGCTTAAAGATCAATGTACAAAGATGGTAAGTTTCTCTTTGTCCAAGGCGAGTGTTTATTTTCATCAGTAAGTCCGGGTGCAGAAGCTCTATTTCCAGACGTCCTCCCGCCCCCCGCCCCCACCCCCAATTCAGTTTCTGAAGAGCAAGAGCATATGCCACTCCCAGGTCACTAGAGCTTGATGCTGGGAACTCTCACATATAATGCTCCCCTTTACTACAGCTAAGATAAGGATTTTAAGTTGCGTGGGGAAGAAGGCCAAAGATAGGTTGCAATAGGGAAACGGTTCACCTCCTCCCAGGCCACTGAACCAGAGACTGGCTTAGGATCCTGACTGGAAGACCGGCCACAGCCTTTGCGCTGGAACCTTCGTCCCCTCTGCAGCGCCCCGTGTGCTCTGTTTGGGTTTATTTGCTGCTGTCTCCCCACAAAGCAGCACCCCCACCTTCCCATTCTCTCCCTCCCTGGTGAGCAAGCCACTTCACCGTGTCTTTCCTATCCACTATTCTCTGATGGGGTAGAGACATGACTTAAAGCAGCTGACCCTTGCTGTGGCACTTCTTTGCGGGGACATTACGACCCGGGTGCCACCCCGAATCTGGGGACTGCAGATTTAAAAATAGTGCATGTGCACGTGATCGGCATGGAGGAGCTGAGGGTGGGGGAGTGGCTGGCAGTCAAGCAAACGATTAACATACAAGATGCCCCCACCTCCTCTCCAAAAAAAAGAAAAAAGAAAAAAAGAAAAATAAAAAGGCGCAGTTTTCACCTACCATCTTGCAGTCGTCCAGGGCTCGTTGGGTTTTGTGGGCGCTTTCGGAGTTGCTGCCCCTGCGCTCCCAATCCCCGCTCTGCAGCGGGGGCTTGCTGATCTGGAAGATCGAGGAGCGGGTGGACCGGCTGGGGCGCTTTTTGCGCCCATTCGGTGCAGAACTCATGCATACACATCCACCAAGCCGAAGCCGCTGGTGCAGTGCGCCCCGGCGCGGGCGGCCCGGTCGTTGCCCTGCGCGCCGCCAAGCAGCCGGAGCCGGGAATCGAGGCGCGGCGCTCACAGGGTTGGGGCTGGCTGCGCGGGTGGGTAACCTTCAGCTTGAAGGAGAGCCGGGAAAGCGCTGGCTGTGCCGTGCAGCATCGCTTCCACTAAGCAGCGAGGAAGGGGCTCGGTCAAGTTCTGCTCAGCAGCATTGCCGGCCCTGTCCCGGGAGCTGGGCGCTGGCGCGGGCTCGCACTACCTTCCCCTCGGCATGGATCGCAACGCTGGGCCAGGAGGAACGCGCCGCCAGGCGGTTCTGAGTTTCCATTCAGATGGGGGAGCAGCTTTCAAAGCCTGCGCTGTAAGGTGGGGGTGGGGGGGCTGCGAGTGTCGCTCCGGCTTCAGTGTCTTCCCGCAGCGGCGCTCCGTCGTCTTTTCCCTCCCTCCCCCCACCCCGTCGCGGGGCCTGGAAGGGCTGGCAGTCCCCGAAGCAGGCAATCGGCTCTAATAGGCTGCCTTGATCCCCAGTCTCTACGGGCTCATCTGTTTGAGGATCCCAAATGAATCCGTGGCGGGACTGGCAGACGCCGGGAATCGGTCCGCCTGACGTTGTGCGCTGCCCCGCACATTGATAGGACGGGAATACTAATGTGATCCGGCCAGAGAACCCACCCCCCCTTCTCCCTCCACAGTTTATGCACTTACCCAATCAAATCCCCGGGAACGTCAGTTGCAATATTACTTCATCTGCGCTATTCTTAGAAGCGCAAAGTGTCATCAGAGTGGAGCACATTGCCACATGCTGGGACCTAAACATGGTTTTCAAACCAACCTGTGTGCGTTGAAGGCCCTCACCATCTCAGGCCATCCGGGGGCCCCAGATAATCAAAGCCCAAACGGAGGAGCAAGCGTGATTTTTCATTCAAAAGGAAAATGTCTTGATTGACCTAAAAGGAAAGCCTTGTTTCCCTGAGTGTGTTGCTGGTGTAGTTGTGTTTTTGTTTTTTTTTTTGTCTTTGTTGGGCATACAGGGAGGGGACTAGCAGCCGGTAGGGCAGAAGGCACAGTTTCAGTCAAATTGGTCCTCCTCCCGGTTTCACCAGTAACGTTCCTGGTCTTGTGTTCCAGAGTGTCCAGACCGTTCTGTTTCCCCTTGGAGGCATAACAAGAGCGAGCCACCAGGTCTCCCTTATGAGACATCAGTGAGCCAGAGGCTGGCGGAGGTGGTCCCGGAAAGTGGAAGGGGTGCCTGTGTAAAGGGGGGTGGGGTGGGAGTGAGTTGCTGGGCCATTTAAGTCCACTTTTACCACTGACCTCTGAAGATTCTTGTGGGAAGAAGAGGGGGGAGTTGACATTCTGCTCTAATGTTTGTTCCCATGAATGATTTGTTTGGAGGGGACAGAAAAAGAGGTCTACCACAGGGGAACTAATTATGTGTCCCAAAGCCTCATGAAGAACAAATCAGACGTTCCTGCTCACTCTCTTAAGAGGATATGGAGAGTACACACAGAGGGAGTGCCAGAAATAGGAAGACAGACACCTTAAGGAGGGTGTCTCTAGGGTTGTGGTCCCCCCCCCCCCCGCCCCCGCCCTTTTTAAAAAAGATAGGTAAACATAAAGGAGTGGGATAAGAAAGATATTTGGTCTTTGTCCCCAGTTCCTGTCACAGAGCTCCTAAAAGCCTTGGAATTTCCTGAGTTGATAAGGGTGATAGGAGTCTTCTGTCACTAGGAAGACTAAGAATTGGTTAGACGTTTGGACTCAGTCCCACCTCCAACTTCCTCGAAGAGGAGAAGGGCTAGAGATTGATGTAATCATGAATAGCCAGTAACCTTATAAATCATATCCACATCATGAAACCTCCATAAAAAGCACTACATAGTGGGATTGGGGGAGCTTCCAGGTTGGAGGTGTGGAAGGTTTGGGAAAGTGGCAAGCTCTGCATCCCCTGCCCCCATACCTTGCCCTGGGCATCTCTTCCTTCATTGCATTCTTTATAGTAAACTGGTAACTAAAGCCCTTTCCTAAGTTCTTTGAGTCAGGCTGACAAATTATGCAATCTGAGGGGGGGGTTTGTGGGAGCCTCTGAATGGGTCTCAGGTGCGACCAGAGTGTGGGCAATCTGTGGACCTGGTACTCATGTCGGTCCCTGGAGTGTAGGCAGTTGTGTGAGAAAGAGCCCTTAAATCATGGAGTCTGATGCTAACTCCAGGCAGTTAGGGGCAGGGTGGAGAGGAATTCCTGAACACCCAGCTGCTGCTGGAGAGTTGAACTAGTGGTGAAGGGGACACCAGCCATTGGGGAAGGAAAAAACCCTAACAGGTAGACATCTGGATGGCTATTCAGTTGTAGTTGCCTAGTATTTTACAAAGATTGAGAATCTTGGTGTGCTCCCTTCCCTCCAGGTGTTTGGATGACTTGGAGACCAGTGTGGGGAGCTCTTCTGTTGGCAGAGTCTCTCCAAATATTGGGAGATAAAAGAAGATAAAAGATAACTCTTAGCCAACTCTGACTATTCCTCTTTCCTCAGTTTCCATTTTCTCTGTGCTTCTGTGTGTAGGGAGAAGTTGAGAAACACTTCAGATGATTCAGTGAGATTGCTAGCACGTGGCGAAGGATGGGGATGCTGACAAAGTAGTTACAGGCAGGCTAAGGAGCCTTAAGGAAGAATGGATAATACTCATTTGTAAACTGTTTTACGTCCTGGTGATAATATAAACCCCTATCATAACAAGTAACGAACCCTTTCCACCCCTCCACCCCCAGGAGTTAAAGTCGGCTTTAACCCAAGGTTGGTAGCCCTTTGGGGAATTAAAGGAAAGGAGACTCCGTTTTACATGTGTGTGGTCAGAGGATAAAGAAAACAGGATGCTGATGGTCACTCTTCGGAAAATCTTTTGCCACCTTTCTCTTGTTTCCTCCTTTTCCCTGCGGGGTGATAGTGGCTGTCACCAGATTTGAGTGTCTCAAAGCTCCTCAGTAGTAGGCTTCTACTCCAACTACAACCATCTGGTTTTGACTCCCCCCTTCTTCTGCCTAGAGACAATTTCAACAAATTAAAAAAAAAAAGGCGACATAATTGTGCTGCCCGGTTTCTAGCCATATTTCTTGGAGGAGGTGGGGGGAGGGAAAAAATGGATTCAAACTCAGTGCCACATCTGAAGGACTACAGATTTGGAAACCTGCTGGGGCATTAAGCAGAAATTACCTTTGTCGATGCCCCTTGGCCTTCCCTGATACATAGCCCAAGCCATTTTCCTGAGAGGGGAGAAAAGTAGCATCCGTGCCAAAGCTGTCTCTCCCAGGGACAAATGCTGTAATCAGAATAGCAGCAGGCAGGCTTAGTTCCCTCACCTTCCCCCACACTCAGAACAGCATGAATTTACATTCCTGGGGCTGTCTGACTGCCAAATCGAAGGGTAAAGTGCAATTGGAAATCCCAATAAGAAGGGCACATTTTCTGGTCATCCAGACCCAGTTTTGGCACAGCCCTAATAATGGGTCCTCTGTAGGTTTATTTGCTTTGACGCCATCTCCTATCCTAGATTCACTCCAGTATAAGATCCGCCTTACATTTCACATTCTCTGGTAATTTCAGAGAATTCATTTTGATTTGCAATTTTTAAAAATAAATGTTAGTTTGGAGTGACTAGGAGTGTCTGTGAAGTTTCTTCAGGTTGGGGCTATAAGGCACCACACTAGGGCGCCTGGGTGGCTCAGTGGGTTAAAGCCTGTGCCTTCAGCTCAGGTCATGATCCCCGGGGCAGGTCGTGGGATTGAGCCCTGAGTCGGGCTCTCTGCTTGGTAGGGAGCCTGCTTCCTTTTCTCTCTCTGCCTGCCTCTCTGCCTACTTGTGATCTCTGTCAAGTAAATAAATAAAATCTTAAAAAAAAAAAAAAAATCTATTATAAGGAACCACACTGAGACCCAGAGATGCCCAGATGGGAGGCAGGTTTCATCTGGGAGTGAAGCTCAAGGTGAGAGCAAAAGTGAGAAAGGACCTTATTTGTGTGGGTCTGTGACCCAGGCAAAGAAATATTCATGAAGATGCCGAGCTCTGAGAAGTTGGGGAGATTTGAAGGGAATGATCGGGTTATTTCCTGTTCGTGTCAAAAGAGATTGAGTTGTTGAGAAGAATTTAGTGGGCAAACTACCTACTAAATGCTTTATTTCCACTAAATGCAGAAGGAAGTACAATACACTGGGAATACATACTTACTAGTTTCAAAAATAGGTTTGAGTATTTTTACTAGTTGCACTTCCATGGTCTGTGGGCCCCAAAGCTTATATAATTTGGAGGCCCCCTTTTAAAGAAAAAGAACACTGACACATTGTTTTGTATGGGAAATAAAGCACAAGAAAGCGTATTTTGCACTGATTACTGTACCCTCTGTATGTGTTTGGATCTGTGTTTGGGTCAGAGTGCAAATAAAACTCACTCATAAGAAAAAAAATGGAAAAATGTAAATACAAAACTAGATAAATGGTTTTGAAAAAGCCTGTGCAGGTGAGGTTTGCTGAAGTGAGTCTTCAATACCTTCATGGTAAATTGACACATTTTGTGTCTGTTTTATGCACAGTGGGCATCTGATGTTTTTCCTCCTCCATTTTTATTCCTCCTTTTCTGATAATAGCTCCTTAAGTTTTCTTTGAGGAATCGGTCTGACCTCAATTCTTCTGACATGACTCATGAATGGACATATGTCTCAGATGTGGTCAAAAAGAGTGGTCTATTCTAGTGGCCACAGTGATTGGATTACAGTGGGCATGACACTGAAGCTGAGCCAAGGAAATTTAGACCTTGGGGACTCTGGAACTCTTGGGTCAAAACATATGAAATAGCCTCAGTCAACCATTTTTGACCTATGTCAGAGGTAATTTCACCCTAATATTTTTTCTCTGTGTTGGGTTTCTTAGGGTGGTAGGATAACAGCCTGTAGTTCCTGGTGGCAGCCTTTTCCACTCAGGGTCACGCGACTGCCTGAGAGGCAACTCAGAAGAAAACAAAATGGAGA